TGTATTGGGCAGCTATGTGAGCACCTGGGTGTGACAAGGCTAAATGTTTTGGTAGCATGATGCTTGTGAGCCCGTCAAAAAAAAAAAAACATAAATTAGCCGCAGCATTTTATAAGCCACGGTGTTCCAAGCGTGGGGAAAAAAGTAGTGGCTTATAGTCTGGAAATTACGGTAATCTGCAGCACTCCTGCATGTACTGGCTGATATGCACTCTGAAAACTCTGGGGCCTTTCAGTAAGTGAAGTAAAACATTAAATTTCGTCAAGCTGAAAGGTATGCTGGTTTAACGCCTAGCATTCCTTGAAGGAATGCTTATTATATACCACCTTTCATGCTACAGCCAACCATAGCCATAGTCATAGCAAACACAATGACCATAACTCAATTTGAGATATTGAGCTAAAATTTGGTGTGGTTGTAGCTCCAACACAAACTCTGAGCACCATACGCATGATTTTTGCTTAAAACATTGGAATCAACTGTTGGAGTCAACACAATTTGTAATTCAATCATGAACCAGTGGACAGGGATTAAGAAAACTCACAAAGTAATCATTGGATAAATAAATAAAGGCTAAATGAAAAATGAAAAATTGGATAAACAACTTAGTATCTTTTGATATCAACCTAATTAAAGATGGCTGCCAAAACTAGTTAACCTTAAGAATAATAAAAATGGCAAGAATTTAGTGAGATTTACAGATATTGAGCTACATACTGATGTGGTAGTATCTGAGGGTCACTGCCAACATGTACTCTGAGTGACATCTTATTTTGAAATATTGCATGAGAATGTGCATAATGTCATTTTACAAGATTTGTCTAAAACGCTTATAATTTTTTTTCTCATCATAAGATGATCTTAGACCAAAACTCTGGCATGAAAGGGAGTGAGTGGTATGCATTCCTTCAAGAAATGTCAGGTCTTTGACAACAATCACCTGCATGGTGTGTGTGTGTGTGTGTGTGTGTGCGTGCGTGCGTGCGTGCGTGCGTGCATGCGTGTGTGTGTGTGTGTGCGTACGTGCGTGCGTGTGTGTGTGTGCGCCTGTGTGTGTTTCACTCAGTCTCAGTGAGTGAAACACACATGCCAGGAACAGATTATTACCAGCAAAGATACAATGAAGCTTCAATATGAAATACAGATTATACAATACACAATGCAATACAAATATAAACACAGTATGAAATACAGAGACAAGCAGAACCTTCCCTGCTCGTGTTAAAATTACATACTTTAAAAGATTATTACAAAACTGCAGTTTTTATTTTTGTCTGTCATGAGATCCATGATTACAGGACAGGGCTCCAAATGTAGAGACCTAAACAGTCGAATACCAGTAATTATATTGCTAACGCCATTGCCACTACCACTACTAGTACTATCTACCACTACTAACTACTACAACTGCTTATACTACTAATAATAGTAGTAATAATAATAACAATGAAATAATTTGTTTAAAAGATATTGCTTTAGTACTCAACTAATTTGTCAAAATAAAACTATAATTAAATTACAAAATAATACCAAACTTCAGGTGACTCAGTTCTGTAGAAGTACTGTGGTCACTGCTGTGTCCAAAAGTAATTACTTCAGTTCTATCTTTATAAAAGTTGAGGATGTTTAGAGCTAAGTGAAGCAGTCAAACTGTGGTTTCAATAACAGAATGGTTGCACTATAACTGAAGGAAGACGTTTTAAATATGGAGCCTAAGGGGGGCAGGTACAGTAGACGGAAATAAAAATGGGGCCTAGACTAGGACCTTGGGGAACTTTACATGTAATGGGGTGGAGAAGAAAACAATCCCTAAAGTTTCTAGAGCAGAGCTATTCACTTCCAGCCCACGGGTGACTTCAGTCCGGCCCACCAATGAGTTCATAAATAAATAAATAAATAAATAAATAAATGAATTTCACAGCAAAATAAAAAAAATTGGGATGGGGTGGCTGGGTTTGGTTTGGGTTCTGTTTTTTTGCATTTATGATTTAATGCAACAATTTTAAAAGGTAACAGATCATTGTAAAACTTGTTTTATTTACATAACGGCTTTAATCGCTGGATGTCCGGCCCCCGAGCTGCTGGCTGTCAGAAACTGTGGCCCCTGAGCAGTTGAACTGAACTGCCCTGTTCTCCATAAACTCCTGTCAGACAAGACCTGAACCAGTGTATTTCTGAGCCTTTTATTTCACACTGCTTCAGCTGGGAAATCAGGATGTGAGCTTTCATATTTGCATTACAAAATTTCCTTTTTTAATTTAAAATGAATTAATATTTTACTTTTTTTAATTCAACTTCTATGTTTGTCTCTCTAAAGCTGACAAACCATCAGCAGTGCATGTGCGCTCCACCCTCAGCTAAACAGTCTGACGTATGACACAAAAGTGAATTAGAGCAAACTAATTTATCACAGCACGTGTGATCAGACTGATCATAGAACATATTTCTTATCGCATATTTCTGCTTACATGCCTTCTCCTCACACAAGGACAACAGGTGAGAGTGAGATGGAGAAAACAGAGGTAACATCTCTGTCAGATTAGCTGAGAAGACAGATTGCATCAGACAGGCCGTTCCTCTCCTCTGAGTGATGATATGAACATATATTTTAACACGGATGGTATGGGTGTCTACTGCACTACTTCTTTCATGTAATGCCCTGCTCAACTCTATCTGTCCTATCCATCAATCTTCCCATCCTTTCATCCCTCTAACCTGTTCCACTTTGAACAGTGCTGTGGTATGGAGAGACGATCTGCAGCAGAAACCATGCAGGAACACAGCAGTACGCTGCAAGCTTCTCAGGCTCTGTGGTAATAAATTATAAAGGACTGACTACAATAAAATGCTGAGCAGTTTTATAATATATGAAAAATTAGGCTCAGACAATAAATTGGACATAAATTTCCAGATTTTCTACATTTTCCAGTGTGTAGAGGGCCTTCCAACAGCAGTTTGTAAATTTAGAAGGAAATCCAGCTGGAAAATGCATCTCCTGATAATTGGGGGGGGGGGGGGGGGTATTTGACATTTGACTGGCCTGGCCACTGTTAGCTGTAGAACCTGGGCATTTTCAGCACCGGGACAAGTTTGAATAATTAAAGTCGTCATCTGGATAATTCATGTGAAACTGAACAATACGTTAATGAAGGTTTGTGATTAAAGCCATCATAGAGATACAGTTTCCTAACCATGTGCTAAGAGTGTTGATAAACAGCTAAAAATATTCCTTTCTAAATGTCAAAGCTTGTTAAACATTCAGTGTAATACCAGTTTGTCCAACTACATGACTAACAGCATAGTTGCTGTCGACCTCTTCACCGTCACTGTCAGATGAGAAGCCACGCCACAAGAAAACTCAGTTTCAATGTGTTTTGTGTCAATAAAGTTCATATCAAGAAAACCAAAAACATTTTATATTAAACAATTCATTACAACACTTATGAGAAAACACACTTGCCTTGTGCTTTGGTTATATACCTGAGGCATACACTTCAAAACCACACCCACCTCTAGGTCTTTTAGATCATAAAGTCGTTCTACTGTTGCCAAAACACAA